CAGTTTGAATCTTGTTTTTGAATGAACCTTAGTAGGTAGCATTAAGCAAGTCAGAGGGAACACCAACCCACCACACTTATCCAGTACCGGAATAATAATGATACTTGTCATGATCAGACTCCACCTGGTCCCGTTCTGGGCACCATGATTTAAGGAGGCTACTCTGCCATGCTTAATGAGAGGACCAGAATTACATTTCACCTTGAAGTCCATAATCTCCATAAATCCTTTTGACGATGCTGATGCTGATCTGAGAAACGTAATTTTTCAAGAAGAAGAAGAGTTTGGATTTGATATCCCGCTTTATCACTACCCTAAGTAGACTCAAAGCGGCTAACATTCTCCTTTCCCTTCCTCCCCCACAACAAACACTCTGTGAGGTGAGTGAGGCTGAGAGACGTCAGAGAAGTGTGACTAGCCCAAGGTCACCCAGCAGCTGCATGCGGAGGAGCGGAGACACGAACCTGGTTCACCAGATTACGAGTCTACCGCTCTTAACCACTACACCACATTGGATCTCAAGAGGAAGGTGGAGGAGACCTAACCAGGAATACTGTGTCCAGTTCTGGGCGCCACATTTTATGATGGATATTGACAAGAATGAATGAAGAGGAGGCTGACTAAGATGACCAAGGGTCTGGAAACCAAGCCTTATGAGGAACGGTCAAATGAGCTGGGTATGTTTAACCTGGAAAAGAAGAGACTGAGAGGATATATAATAGCCATCTTCAAGTATCTCAAGGGCTGTCACATGGAAGATGGAGGCTAGGACCTGAACCAATGGTTTCAAGTTACAAGAAAGGAGATTTGAGCTAAACATCAGGAAAAGCTTTCTGATGGTAAGAGCTATTCGACAGTGGAGCAGACTCCCACAAGAGATGGTGGACTCTCCTTCCATGGAGGTTTATAAGCAGAAGTTGGATGGCTATCTGTCAGGGTTGCTTTAGTTGCAATTCCTGCATTGCAGGGGGTTGGAGTAGATGAGCCAAAGGGTCCCTTGCCATATGTCCTCTTTTTCCAGGACGTGTTCTCTTTTTCAGAGGTATGTAAAATGAGAGTCATCATAGCGATCCATAGTTAAAAGTAAAAAGGTAAAGGTAAAGGACCCCTCACAGTTAAGTCCAGTTGCGAACAACTCTAGGGCTGCGGCGCTCATTTCACTTTACTGGCTGAGGGAACCAACGTTAGTCTGCCAACAGTTTTTCCGGTCATGCAGCCAGCATGACTAAGCCCCTTCTGACAAAACCAGAGCAGCTAACAGAAACGCTGTTTACCTTAGTGATGAAATGATAGCTATTTATCTAATTGCACTTTGACGTGCTTTCAAACTGCTAGGTTGGCAGGAGCAGGGACAGAGCAACAGGAGCTCACCCTGTCACGGGGATTCAAACTGCCGACCTTCCAATTGGCAAGCCCTAGGCTCAGTGGTTTAGACCACAGCACCACCCGCTTCCCAGATAGTTAAAAGTTGTTGTTGTTGTTGTTTAGTCATTTAGTCGTGTCCGACTCTTTGTGACCCCATGGACCAGAGCACGCTAGGCACTCCTGTCTTCCACTACCTCCCGCAGTTTGGTGAAACTCATGCTGGTCGCTTCGAGAACACTGTCCCACCATCTCGTCCTCTGTTGTCCCCTTCTCCTTCTGCCCTCCATCATTCCCAACATCAGGGTCTTTTCCAGGGAGTCTTCTCTTCTCATGAGGTGGCCAAAGTATTGGCGCCTCAGCTTCAGGATCTGTGCTTCCAGTGAGCACTCAGGGCTGATTTCCTTCCGAATGGATAGGTTGGATCTTATTGCAGTCCATGGGACTCTCAAGAGTCTCCTCCAGCACCATAATTCAAAAGCATCAAAGTTAAAAGTAGGAGTCGGCAAATGTGTCCTCTTTTTGCTCTTCAAAACATGGCAACCCTATTTTTTACTCTACAGTTCTATGAGTCCATGATTCCGAGGTGCCCTGAGAAAGAGGCAGAACGGTGGGTTTCGAGTAACCAGTGGGCAAGCTTCCTTGCAGCAGTCATGAGAAATGGCATGCTTTTTTTAAATATAAAAAAAGCGAAAACCACCCAACTAAACCCCAACCAAATGAGCAGCTTTGTGTGCATCGTAATCAGGTAGAGTTTGAGACCTGAACTGCTTTGCTTCATAATTACTCCTCCACGTTTCTCGACGGCTCTAATGAAAACGCTGGCATATTGGTCGCTCTGACTGCCAAGCGATATGGTCGTGCCCTCTCCGCAGGATCCAAGTACAAACATGCCTGGTAGGCCCTCTCGAGGGGGCGGCCCGGCTCTGCCGTCACACTGCCTAACATATGTAGGTGCACCTGAAAGCTACAGGCTGCTGCTTCCCAGGGCCCTCGCTTGGCTACCTTTGGCTCCGCTGCCACCAAGGGTTAATTTTCTAATGGCTGTTTGCCGCTAACGCTGGCCAAGTTTTCCATCGCCTGCAGAGCGCCACAAGCTGTGATTTGGAGCCAGAAAACACTATTAATTTTCTAAATACGAAGGATCACATATGTAAACTGTCTGGTTGCATAACCAATTGGGCAGGTGGAAAAGACAGAGAGAGGGGGGGGGGAGAAGTTATCGCCGAGGAAAACCAGGAGGCGATTTTTTCTCTCCACTGGCTTTTCCTCCATATTCTTTTCCTTCCTTGCCGACACAAAATAACCTAGAAGATCTGCTTCTTCTCTTGGCTCCTCAGATTTTGCCATCACAGGTGTGCAGAAATATACTTAAAGATGGCCTCAGATTCTAGAGGTTGTATAGTGCAATTTTGTTCTCCATCAGGAAACTCAGGGAGTTGATAGGGATGCAAAGGAGCCAATGCCAGTAGCCCAAACCTTGACAGTGATATGAGATTGGATATCGTGTATCGAATCAGAGCACAGGACTTGGGATCCTAGCCCAGACTCAAGCTCAGGCAAACACAGACCACTGCATACACAACAGGCAGAACACCCCCCCCCCTTGGCAAACTGAAAGCCAATGAACAAAATTTGAGACTGCAGAGCCATAAGAAGACCCTGCCTGAATCAGACCCATTTCGTCCATTTTTCATTTCCTAAAGTTCCTGGGAGTGACTCTATGCTATCATGTAGCATCGCTCTGTTGGCAAGGTGATGTCTCTGTCCGTATAGTTAAAGCTATGGTTTTCCCAGTAGTGATGTATGGAAGTGAGAGCTGGACCATCAAGAAGGCTGATCGCCAAAGAATTGATGCTTTTGAATTATGGTGCTGGAGGAGACTCTTGAGAGTCCCATGGACTGCAAGAAGATCAAACCTATCCATTCTGAAGGAAATCAGCCCTGAGTGCTCACTGGAAGGACAGATCGTGAAGCTGAGGCTCCAATACTTTGGCCAGACTCCCTGGAAAAGACCCTGATGTTGGGAAAGATGGAGGGCACAAGGAGAAGGGGACGACAGAGGACAAGATGGTTGGACAGTGTTCTCGAAGCTACCAGCATGAGTTTGACCAAACTGCGGGAGGCGGTGGAAGACAGGAGTGCCTGGCGTGCTCTGGTCCATGGGATCATGAAGAGTTGGACACGACTAAATGACTAAACAACAGCAGAAGCAGCAGCATTGCTCTGGTGGAAGACTTGGGGGGTAGGGTGGTTACTAGGGGTGACAACTCCTAGGGGCCAAGGCAGTTTCAGCCCTCCAAATATTTTTTTGAGGGTACCAGTGTTGATTTAAAGCAGAGTCTCTTGTGCCCAGCGGAAGGATGAGGAAAATGTGGTACATACTCTAAATTGCTTTATTTACAGTTCAAAGCTGGTATATTACAGAAAGACATCTTGCCTCTCTGCATGAGCAGAAAAATGCATCCTCTCTCCTCAACAGCTTGGAGAGAAGCACACAGTGTAAAAACAGGAAACCAGTGTACGTCACATCCAGTCTCCCTTTCCCGTGAGAAACCCAACAGTACAGACTGTGGAATGTAAACACCTGTCTTGTGACTGCAGTTGCTGCACAGTGAAGGAAAGCAGAAACCAACATCCTCCCCTTTCTGTGAACATCACTGGGCAGCGTGTTCGTACAATATCAGTACAAACCCAACTTCTGCACATAGGTACAGTGTTGATCCCTTGATACAATCTTGGACAATACATCAGCAGGAATTTCATTACCTGGCATATAGGACACCGTTACGAGTCCCTTCTGAATACATTCCCTAGCATGCTGCAACTTTAATTGCAAGTGCTTTGTGCTTTGCTTACAACCTTCAGACTTCAGCAAAGCCAAACATGCTTTGTTGTCCTGGTAAACCTGGATTGGACATTTGACAGGAATTTTCATATCTTTGCACAATTGTACTAACCATTCACAATCCTTAAGTGAATAAGACAGTGCATTCAGTTCGGCTTCACAAGTACTTAAGCTAACTGTTGTTTGCTTCTTGCATGACCAATCAAACAGACTCTGATTGTACATGTAGCAAACTCCAGACGTACTTTTCCTGTCTGTAGCGTCACTTCCAAAACTTGCATCTGCAAATATCTCAAGACCACCAGACTTCTGATTGTTAAATCTCAGTCTGTAATGCATAGTGCCTTTCAAATACCGCGCTATGCGTTTCAGAGCTTTCCAATCCTTGACACTAGGATTGTTGACTTGTCTGCTTAGCAAATTACAGCTAACAGCAATGTCTGGTCTTGAACATCTGGCAATGAAGTTTAGCTTGCCTAGCACACTCCTGTACAGTGTAGTGTCAGAAAATGCTTCTTCAGTGTCATCTACCTGATAACCTGTTGTCATCGGTGTGTCTACAGGGTTAGCATCCATCAGATTTAGTTTGCTTAACACATCAGCAATTTTCCGTGACTGGTGTACTAGAATGTTACCATCTTGATCTCTCTCTATTTCCAGAGATAGGTAGTTGTTTACCTCACCAAGATCTTTCATGTCAAAGTGCTCTTTCAGTTGAGCTAGGGCGCTATTGTACATTGCAACATCTTTCCAAAAGAATAATAAATCATCAACATAAAACAAACAGTACAGTTTCTTTTGCCCCTCCTCTTTGACAAATACACATGGATCAGCTTTCCCTTGCTGAAAACCTAGAGAAAACAATACTTCAGTGAGTTTTGTGTGCCAACACCGTGCACTTTGTTTGAGACCATAAAGGGATTTCTTCAGAGCACAAACAAATCCCTGTTTTACCTGTACGCCATCAGGTGGAAGCATATAAAGTGATTCATCTAGAGATCCGTACAGAAAAGCTGTATTAATATCATGGTGACTAATGTGTAGATTTTCCTCTGCAGCTAGCTTGAGCATAAGCCTAATGCTTTCATATCTCACTGTGGGTGAATAGGTCTCGTGATAGTCTTCACCTGGTACCTGTGCAAAACCTCTGGCTACCAATCTGGCTTTGTGTCTGACTATCTTGCCATTTTGATCTGTCTTCGCTTTGAAGACCCATTTGCTTCCAAGCAGTTTCATTCCTGGAACTACTGGAACTAGCTCCCATGTTTTGTTCCTTTCTAAGGAATCAAGCTCAGCCTTCATGGCATTTAACCATGGCTCAGCTTCCTTTGAATCCAAACCCTGGATTTCTTGGAAACTTGAAGGTTCAAATACCTTCTTGGAGCTTTTAACAGCTGTTACTGCTATCTTAGCAAACTCATCAGCAAATCTCTTTGGAGGTTTGCCTTTTGTGGCTCTCTGTGACCTACGAATTAGCCTTAAGTCTTCAACACTCTCCTCTTCCTTCTTAGGAGAAAAACGACCTATTGTGAACAATGGTTCCTCCAATTCTTGATCAGAGCTTTCAGAGGGTCGCATAGAGGCTTTCGCACTCTTGAAATCCTCTGAATCACCCGATTCAGTTTCAGATTCAGACTCAGAACCTTCATCAGTGGGTGTGGGCTGTTGTGGTTGCTTTTGACTATCCTCAGTCTCATCACCGTCATCAGGATAACATTGGAAAATTCCCACATTCTCCCCCACTTTGCATTGTACTCAACACTTCTCGTGAGCTTAATTGTCTTAGAGTCAGTCATCATTATTCTGTAAGACCCTTTCTGATAACCTAGAAAGATACCATGCAATCCACGCTTGTCTAACTTGGAGTTTTGTGGTGAGCGAACCCACATGTCAGAACCAAAATCTTCATGTGTTTGATGTATGGCTTCTTGCCAAACATCTTCTCATAGGGGGTACATCCAATCGCTGAAGATAATCTGCGATTGTAACTGTAAACAAAACACGAGAGAGATTCGGCCCAATAACTCTCTGGAAGATTGGCATCATGCAGCAAGGTTTTTAAGCCTTGAAGCAATGTCTGATTTGCCCGTTCCGCAAGTCCATTCTGCCATGGCGAGCGAGGACTAGACAAATCGTGTTGAATTCCTTTCTCAGTCAGAAAAGCTTCAAACTGCTGAGAAGTGAATTCCCCGCTATCACTGAAAAGAGTCTTTATCTTCTTACCATGCACATTTTCCAACCAAGCACAGAATTCCTTGAACCTAGGAAAAGCCTCCGATTTCTGCTTGAGATTGTACACAAAAATATATCTAGAAAATGCATCAATGAGAACCATGAAGTACCTATTTCCACCCAAAGAGGGCGCTAGTGGTCCAACCAAATCAGCATGAACAACCTGGTATGGTTCTGTAGCTTTCCTACTAGACACCTTACCTTTCGCAGCCATTTTCACCTTGTTTGCTGCGCATGCTTTGCACTTCATGTGGTACTTGCAGGGTTTAATAGTCATACCTTCAACCAAGGCAGGCATTTTAGATACTGCCTCAAAATGCAAATGACCAAATTTTCGATGAAAATCGTGAATACATTCTGCATGCAAACTTTTGTTAGAACCTGCAATGCAACAAGTGTCATCCTGCACCACATCATCATAATACAAAACAAACAAATGATCAACATATTCTGCATGCAATACATAATCATTTTTCTTTGTGATGATGCACTTCTTGTTCTTGAAGGAAACGTCAATGTTCCGCTCATTCAGCTGTCCAACGCTGAGCAGATTATGTTTGGCGTCTGGCACGTAAAGCACATTCTGTATCGATAAGTCCAAACTGTGAAGAACAACAGTTCCGTAGCCTTTACTGGGAATAGTGTGGTCATCCGCCTGGTGAATCGCACCTTCCTGCGGTGTAAAAGACACAAACAGTTTCTTATCGTTGCACATGTGGTGGGTCGCCGCTGAATCAACAACGAAGAAAGATCTAGACGTCTTCTGGACCTCTGCAACCTTTGGAGTGAAGCGTGAAACCATAGCCTTGTGCTGCGTTGTCCTAGACACCGGACCTTTGCCTTTGCCTCGGCCTTTTCCGCGCGATGAGCTTTCGCTGCGCTGCTCTGTCTTGGCCCTGGGATGTCTGCATTCCCTCTTCATATGGCCTAGACGTCCACACGAGTAGCATTTCACTGCCTTCAAAGCTTTGGCGCCATCTGGTGGTTCCACTGCACTATGGGATGACGTCTGTGAAGACTCTCCTTGCCCATGCAGCTAGCACCCCGGCGATCTGCTTCATTTAAAATCACGGCAGTAACAAAGTCCACTGTCAGCTGAGCAGTTGGTTGCACAGCAATCTGGGTTGCAACAGACTCCCAACCTGAACCCAAAGATTGTAGTATCATGAAAGAATACACAGCCTCTGGAAAGTTGAGTCCTCTCTGTTGCAGCTCATGTCTCAGATTTTGCATCTGCATCAGATGTAAACGCACATCTCCACCTTCAGCAAGAGCCATATTATGCAGCTTGTTAAAATAATACATAGTGGATCCAGCTTCTGTCCTTAAGTGAGCCTCTTTCAGAGCGTCCCAAATTTCTCTGGCTGAGGTCTTATCACGCAATAGACAGAGCTCTTCTGGGGATACTATCAATGTAAGAGTTCCCCTTGCTTTGGAATCCTTAGCTTCCCATGCATCTGTAACTGGAACTGGGGGTTCCTGTAATCACCTCAAACAAACCCTCTTTCCGCAGAATTGCCTCTGCATACTGAACCCAGTCGCTGTAATTTGTCTTGTTGAGCTTAGGAATCCCACAAGCATCCTGAAGGGCCATCATGACTCTGGCATTAGCCTTCAGCGTCATTATATGCTGCTTTAAATCTTGCTGCGTCACTGCTGCAGCTGCCTCATTACAAAGGCACACTTAAAAGTTACTTTCGATTTCCCCAGCATAGTGACTTGTGCCTGGGAGCCTTTTGCCTATTTGCAAAACCGGCTTTAAAAGTTCAAAGTCCAGCCATAAAGCCATTAACTTGAAGCTGGCAGGCTGCCCGGAGCAGTAGCACATACCTCATCAATCACTTCTACGCGCAGAGCAGATTCCTTTCCGATCCGTCCCTCTGCATTCCGATCCTTTGCCGGCACTCCGATTCGACCTCTGGGCCCATAACCACGTGTTGATTTAAAGCAGAGTCTCTTGTGCCCAGCGGAAGGATGAGGAAAATGTGTTACATACTCTATATTGCTTTATTTACAGTTCAAAGCTGGTATATTACAGAAAGACATCTTGCCTCTGCAAGAGCAGAAAAATGCATCCTCTCTCCTCAACAGCACGGAGAGAATCACACAGTGTAAAAACAGGAAACCAGTGTACATCACATCCAGTCTCCCTTTCCCGTGAGAAACCCAACAGTACAGACTGTGGAATGTAAACACCTGTCTTGTGACTGCAGTTGCTGCACAGTGAAGGAAAGCAGAAACCAACAACCAGGTCCCCTCAATATTCAGAGGATGCCTCTCAACACAGTGTCAGGGACCCCCGATCCTCTGCAGAAGCTGGGCACCTCTGGCGGTTACCGTTGTCCCAGTAAGAACAATGAAGACAGAAAACTGAAGCACAAACAACAGATACTTTAGGAGAGATGTGGATGATAATGTTGAGTCCCTCCATTTTTTTGCCCATTGTACATAAAGAACATCTGTTTGAAATCCACATAGCAGCTTCTCAGCAAGACCCTTCCACTCATGTGGAATTGTGGGACTTCATGTAATTATGGAGATACTGTAAAGTCCTGAAATGACATCATAAGGACTGGGAGTGGCCACATAACACCAGTCCTGAGAGATCTGCATTGGCTCCCAGTACGTTTCCGAGCACAATTCAAAGTGTTGGTGCTGACCTTTAGAGCCCTAAATGGCCTTGGCCCAGTATATCTGAAGGAGTGTCTCCACCCCCATCGTTCAGCCCAGACACTGCAATCCAGCGTCGAGGGCCTTCTGGCAGTTCCCTCATTGCGAGAAGTGAGGTTACAGGGAACCAGACAGAGGGCCTTCTCGGTAGTGGCACCCGCCCTGTGGAACGCCCTCCCTTCAGATGTGAAAGAAATAAGTAGCTATCTTATCTTTAAAAGACATCTGAAGGCAGCCCTGTTTAGAGAAGTTTTTAATATTTAATGCTGTATTGTTTTTAACATTCAATTGGAAGCTGCCCAGAGTGGCTGGGGAAACTCAGCCAGATGGGCAGGGTATAAATAATAAATTATTATTATTATTATTATTATTATTATTATTATTATTATTAAGAGTCCCCAGAAACAATTATGGGAATGCGTCTCAATAAATAGATCTTCTCCAGCTTCTAATGGTGTAACAGGGCTTTCTTCCTAAGTCCACACTTCCGTTAGCCCTGCCACTGGGAAAACCTGCAGTTTAGCACTGAATTGGAGCAAACAGCAAGCAGTTGGGTTTTCTGAAGATGGTCGTTTGTTCAAACATATCACTACAGAGCTGGTTTCCTGTGGGGGGGGGAGTGGCGGGGCAAAGGCAAAACCGTTTGGTCAGGCAGAAAATCACTTGGACCCCTGTGGATGAGCACTTAGCCTGCCATCAGGGGGGCCCACCTGCATAAAATATTGAGGGGGGACCAGGTGAGCCCCGTCCCACATAAGTGATCACAAGATCATGTGTGGAGTTGCTTAATTGGCTATCCCCCAAAGTAAAAGGTAAAGGGACCCTGACCATTAGGTCCAGTCGTGGCCGACTCTGGGGTTGCGGCGCTCAACTCGCTTTATTGGCCGAGGGAGCCGGCGTACAGCTTCCGGGTCATGTGGCCAGCATGACTAAGCCGCTTCTGGCAAACCAGAGCAGCACATGGAAATGCCATTTAACTTCCTGTCGGAGAGGTACCTATTTATCTACTTGCACTTTTGACGTGCTTTCGAACTGCTAGGTTGGCAGGAGCAGGGCCCGAGCAACAGGAGCTCACCCCGTCACGGGGATTCAAACCACTGACCTTCTGATCGGCAAGTCCTAGGCTCTGTGGTTTAACCCACAGTGCCACCTGTGTCGCTAGGAGAAACAGTGGCAATGAACTTGAATGAGAAAAAATGAATAACACAGAAATGAAATTACAAATTTCACTAAACCCGGCAACCTGCTTCCAAAGAAGAAGAAGAGGAGGAGGAGGAGTTTGGATTTGATATCATGCTTTATCACTCCCCTAAGGAGTCTCAAAGCGGCTAACATTCTCCTTTCCCTTCCTCCCCCACAACAAGCACTCTGTGAGGTGAGTGGGGCTGAGAGACTTCAGAGAAGTGTGACTAGCCCAAGGTCACCCAGCAGCTGCATGTGGAGGAGCGGGGAAGCGAACCCGGTTCACCAGATTACGAGTCTACTGCTTTTAACCACTACACCACACTGGCTTGCAACCCCACTTTACGATTGATCAGGAAGTCCCACTGTCTTCTCATCCCTTTCTTTGACCTCTGCAGCCCTTAATGTTTTTGGTATGGTCTAGGAAAGTGTTTGTGTGCGTGTTTTAATCACTGGAAGAGGGCGCAAAGTCCATGACTCTCGACTCCTCAACTAATAAGCTATTCACCGCATCCTAGTACCTAATTTCGGTTTTCCATACGTGCTCATTTCTTACACAAACGGCAGAGAAGCCTTAGATAAATGATTCAGCTTGCATAGTATATAGCTTTTATTTTTACAAAATATTTGCTTCCAGCAGAGTGTATCTTAATTTACAGATGCTGAAATCTGTCATTAGGAGTTGACCCAGCCGCGTGGCATTGTCAAATGCAATAACGTATCTTTTAATAGTTTTATATCAAGGAAGGATATAACATATCATTAGTTTAAATGTATTTGCAAGCAATTACCCCCACCAGGATATTTGTGAATGCTCATACAAAATTGATGAAACCCTGACATGCTTAAACATTGTTCATTTAGCTTGATTCCTTATGTATAGAAGAAATAACATAAATAATTTGTCTGACACTTGGAAAAAGGCTGTTGCATTTTCTCATTCACTTCAAGGTTTCTGGCTCGCCTTTTAAACAATAGCCTTTGGTGATTTTTTTCCACCAAAAATAAAAAGGAAGGGTTAGGTGTTGGGGAAACAAGTTTCATATATGTTTAATGTTAAATGAGTGTGCTAGATTATTCATGCTCCATTGTCTCATTCCATGCTGTTGTGGCAATGTGGGCTGGATTTACTGTGCGTCGCCTGCATCTTCTTCCTCTTCTCTTTTTTATAAAAAAAGGGGGATTAATTATTAAATGGGACGAGGTTGTCTGACAACAGGTTTCCCAGTACTTCACAAAAGGAGGACCTTTGACATTCAGCTGTCTTTTGCAAAGAAGAAAGAGAAAATCAATTAAGCCACTGTGTTGCAGTTCAAAAAAAGCAAGCTGTTGTGCCGTAGACTTGCCTACCTCTGGGCGGTTGTGGCGGCATTGTCTTCTCCTCTGGGTTTTCGCAAGGGTAAGCTAGCATTACCCCAAGGGTGGCTGCCATCTGCTATCTGCTGCCTTCGGAAGGCAGCCATGCTCTCCACACCTCTTCGCCATCTCTGTGGTCAGCAGAGGCATCCGCTGCCTGCCAAGTCCAAAAAGGAAGGGCATCAGAAATGGCATCCTTGATGGCTTTTCTTTTCCCTTAGAGGTCTAGAAAAGTTGGTCTTCTAGAAATGATGGGAGGGGATGCTTTTATTTTATTCTATTTATGTCTGCAAACTTTGCTGATTAGGTTGCTGACGCAATCACAGGTTCCATTTCAGGTTCAGCTTGGCAGGGGAGACACTTCAGAGAGTGCCAACCTCCTGAGAAGAGTATGTTCTTGGGTAAGCCCAGGATCAGGGCCTCATCTGCACTATACCGTTAAAGCAGGGCTGTGCCACTTTTAACAGTCATGGCTTCCCCCAGTGAATCCTGGGAGATTTGTTTGCTAAGGGTGCTGACAGCTGTTTGGAGACCCCTATTCCTTGTTTTCCAGACCCTTGATCATCTTGGTCGCCCTCCTTTTAACACGTTCAAGCTTGACAACATCCTTCTTAATTTGTGGCTTCCAGAACTGAACACAGGACTCCAGGTGTGGTCTGACCAAGGCAGAATAGAGTGGTACAAGAATAGAGGGCTTCTTGTTGCAGATAAGCCTTGCTCTTCCTGAACTTTGGCATGTTGCAGTATCCTTTGGTTGTCTTCAAGCCGGACTTCTGACTTGATCTTCACTCTTACCTGTTGGCTGTCCTTTGGTTCTGACTTCTGGTTTGTTCTTCAGTCCTACCTCCTGTATATTCTTCAGTCCTGACTTCTTTTAAACAAAAAACTATTTTTCATTGCTTTTTAAACAAATACAAATACAACTCTTAAACACTGTAGTTGTACAGCAGTACAGCTAATGTTGTTTGTTCTATCCATTGTCTCTAGACATAAACATACTTTGACTTCTGGCTTCATCTTCAGTGCTATCTCTTGGCTGTTTTTCTGATGCCAACCCTGGCTTGACCTTCAGTCCTGCTTCACAGTGGTCCTTTACATAGTAATAACAATAACAATAACAATAATTTATTATTTATACCTCGTCCATCTGGCTAGGTTTCCCCAGCCACTCTGGGTGGTTCCCGACAGAATATTAAAAACATGATAAAACATCAAACATTAAAACTTTACCTAAACAGGGCTGCCTTCAGATGTCTTCTAAAAGTCAGATAGTTGTTTATTTCCTTGACATCTTATGGGAGGGCATTCCACGGGGGGGGGGGGTGCCACTATCGAGAAGGCTGTCTTCCTGGTGCTGAAGTGTCCTTCAGCTTTGACTGCTCCTTTGGTCCCCCTTACTACTGGCTTCCTAGCTTAGCTCCTGGTTCCCATCTCTTGGCTCACTCCTCATAGCTCAACCCTGTACTGTTTGTAGTGCATGCAGGTACCCAAAATTTGTGTGTTGGTGTGTGAATACAATTTGCCTCCAGAAAATCCCATTGGCAGTTACACCTGACTGCATCAAACAATCAGGGAACAATTTTAAATATAGCCCAAGTACTGGGGTAGGAGAGCTGGGGGGCAGGGAATTCACATCCGGCAACCAATGTGCCCCTTTGGTTTCAGATAGCACATGGGTAAGGTAAAGGGCCCCCCTGACCATTAGGTCCAGTCGTGGCCGACTCTTGGGTTGCGGTGCTCATCTCACTTTACTGGCCAAGGGAGCTGGCATACAGCTTCCGGGTCATGTGGCCAGCATGACTAAACCGCTTCTGGCGAACCAGAGCAGCGCACGGAAATGCCGTTTACCTTCCCGCCAGAGCGGTACCTATTTACCTACTTGCACTTTGACGTGCTTTCGAACTGCTAGGTTGGCAGGAGCAGGGACCGAGCAACGGGAGCTCATCCCGTCACGGGGATTCGAACCGCCGACCTTCTGATCAGCAAGTCCTAGTTTAACCCACAGCACCGCCCGATGAGTCCAAAAAGCCTGGGACACAAATTTTCGCAGCCCTCCAGCAGTTATGGTGTCTCATTTACCAGAAGTAATGTACAGTGGTACCTCTGGTTACATACGCTTCAGGTTACAGACGCTTCAGGTTACAGACTCCGCTAACCCAGAAATAGTACCTCAGGTTAAGAACTTTGCTTCAAGATGAGAACAGAAATCGTGCTCCGGTGGTGCAGCAGCAGCAGGAGGCCCCAGTAGCTAAAATGGTGCTTCAGGTTAAGAACAGTTTCAGGTTAAGAACGGACTTCCGGAACGAATTAAATTCTTAACCCGAGGTACCACTATATTTAGTGTTAACTCTGGAAATATATACTCATTTTTTACCAAACTCAGCCTCCTGGTGCATATTGTGCTCTGGGGAGCTTAGTTTAGTCAGAACTGAGAATACCTATGTCTCCACTGTGGAAGGATGTATGGATCCAGGACCGGCCTCTACAGTCACTTATGGACTCACTGTTAAGACTGTGTTTATGGAAGACAATCTTACTTGGCTATAAGTTATTGTTAAAGGAGGAGGAGGAGGAGGAGGAGGAGGCGGCAGAAAGAACAGGCTGCCCTTCAAAGGACAGTATGTTTTCAAATGCCACTGGGGAAAATCAAGGCCTTAGAGGCACCAAAAGTAGCTCCCTAGACCCCACCCATACTAGATGTCTGGTGGTGGTGGTGGTTGCTCGTGAGTAACCAGGCAGGACTCCGGCCTGTCTAACAGGTTTTATTTGGTGCAAACTATTTACAGTGCAGAGCCACAAAAGTTCATGTCCGTCTTAGTCGCTCGCAGATTCCAGGAGCGGCCCCTTCAGGTCCTCCCCCCCAACATAAGAACTTAGAGACCTCAAATCTCTGCCTCCCCTCCTTACGTTTCACCCCTCTGCGTAAACTGGCCTACGGAAAAGGCATGTCTGCCTCCTGGCAAGCAGGGCTAGGTGAGGTCTGGGCTCTCAGTGGCATCCTCAAGCCCTCCCCTCGCTTGGCTGCCCCCTTCCCACTCTGCTCCACTGGAGGCGTGGCTTTCCCCACCGCTCAACAAGGTGCTGCTCCTCAGAAGCGCCGGAGGCTCTCTGTATCCCCCTGGCTCCCTCCCCTGTTCCCATGGCAGTCCCCTGACACTAGGGTTGCCATATTTCGAAGAGCAAAAAAAGAGGACGCTATGAAGGCTCTCATTTTAAATACCCATGCAATATGTAGACTATAGAAGGCGATATAGTGCTGAGGGGGGAAGGAGAAGAGGAAAGGAAGTCTTCAGCCACCAGTTATGTCTATGTCTCATCCAGAAATTATAGCCAGAGACATTTTGGCAATTTTTAAAAATCCATCCAGACAGAAACTTTACCCCTGAAAAAGAGGACTTGTCCTAGAAAAAGAGGACACATGGCAACCCTACTTAAACTGCACCAGTTGGATTAGAATTGGTATTACAATAGTCAATTACATCTTTACTTGCTTGCTTTGGGAACATGTACCATTGGCTGGTTGGTCTTTTCTCCTCAGAAAACCCTTTTGTGCCCCCCCCCCCATTTTAAATGAAGAGTCTGAGTCCCTAATGCTGGAGTGGGGAATCTGATGGCTTCCAGAAGTTGCTGGACTCCAACTCCCATCATCCCTGAGCCATGACCATGCTGGCTGGGTGTTCCCATCGGGTTCCTCTTCCCTGTCCCCACAAAAAATATTCAGGTAAAGGTAAAGGTAAAGGACCCCTGGATGGTTAAGTCCAGTCAAAGGTGACTTTGGGCTTGTGGCGCTCATCTCGCTTTAAGGCCAAGGGAGGTGGTGTTTGTCCACAGACAGCTTTCCGGGTCATGTGGCCAGCAGGACTAAACTGCTTCTGGCACAAGGGAACACCGTGACGGAAACCAGAGCACGTGGAAATGTCGTTTACCTTCCCGCCACAGTGATACCTATTTATCTACTTGCACAGGTGTGCTTTCAAACTGCTAGGTTGGCAGGAGCTGGAACAGAGCAACGGGAGGTCACCCCATTGCATGGATTCAAAACGCTGACCTTCTGATCAGCAAGCGCAAGAGGCTCAGTGGTTTAGACCACAGCGCCACCCGCGTCTCAGAAAAGAAAATCAATGGCTGCATAACTCCTGCATGGGTCTCCACAGTAATGTCTCATAAAATCGCAATGTGCCATCATTGCATTTTTACTTCTTAAAAATGACAAATACTAGTATCAATGACTCCTTTGGGGCTAAAGGAGCACTGGGAGCAGATCCCGAAAAGTCTGACACACATACACACAGAGACTCCTTGCAAGGGAAATGAACCGAGGGCTTGAAGCAGTTGCTGACCCCCCAAAGTCAGGTTTATTCTCTCTCTCGCTGCTCCTCACACACATAAATAAAATAAATGCTGCCAATAAAATGATATTCAGAGAGAAAGTATAATGTGTGGGTATATTACTCCCATGTGCACCACCCACTTTCTAATCTCGCCGTACATTTTAGGATATTTTCTAAATTGGCAAATGGCTTTGGCCTTTACCGAATGAATGAACGTCTATGGTTAGTTAACAAGCATTGCTTTTACATTTCTTGGCGGGGAGCAGCAGCAGATTCTCACTAAGTGCACGGAGCGTACAGATCACAGTTTGCAAACTAGGATATTGAATGCTTTAAAAGTTAAGTTTAGGCAACCTCCCCCCAGAGTTTAAATAAGGTTGACTGGGAGCTAAGAACCAAAGCTGGGAACTGCCATGGCAATTGGGCGGCACATTGCCCAATACATTGAAAGCAGTGCCGTGCCACTTCGTGACTTCTCCCAAAGAATTCTGGGGAACTGTAGTTTTTTAATGGTTGCTGGGAGTTGTGGGGAGACCCTGCTCCCCTCACAGAGCTGCAATTCTCATAGTAGTTGAACAATCAATCCCTCTTCACAGGGTGCTCTGGGAATTGTAGCTTTCAGAGGGATATAGCACCTCTGAGAGCCAGTGTGGTGTAGTGGTTAAGAGCAGTAGTCATCTGGGGAACCGGGTTCGCATCTCTGCTCCTCCACATGCAGCTGCTGGGTGACCTTGGGTCAGTCACACTTCTTTGAAGTCTCTCAGCCCCACTCACCTCACAGAGTGTTTGTTGTAGGGGAGGAAGGGAAAGGAGAATGTTAGCCGCTTTGAGACTCCTTTGGGCAGTGATAAAGCGGGATATCAAATCCAAACTCTTCTTCTTCTCTCAGCTCCCTTAACATGCTACAGTTCCCAGGATTCTCTGGAGGAAGCCATGCCTGTTAAAAGTGGTATGATACTAGATGGGCAGGGAATAATAATAATAATAATAATAATAATAATAATAATAATTTTAAGAGATCGTAGTTCAAATCACTTCTATCCCAACAACACACCCTCTTCCTAGTTTTTCTTTTCTTCTAAGGTGTGGGAGAGAGAAAAAACAACATGTGTTTTCCTCCCCTAAAAGTTATTCAGGCTTAGCCCTCTCTTTCAAAATATGGGCTGGGGTGTGTGTGAGGGAAACAAAACTTGCAACCAACCAGGTCCATCTCTGCTGCAATGCAGTGAACCTTCCAAACCCCTTGTCTTACTTCCTTGGAACGGAACAAATTACATGTCATAGCGGGTTGTGCATCACATGGTCAATGTTTATGACATAAGATTAAGCAGAACCTCAGAACGGGCTTCTCCGGCGAGAGCTGGAGCAGGTCAAATGGTCGGTTGACTGACAAGCCGTGTGTGCGTATGTGTACACACTGAAATTTACTGGCCTCCCTCCCTTTGCTGAATGCAAACCTTAACTCCCTCTTGCCTGACATTTAACCCCCTTCCATCTTTATATACAATAACTGCATGCGCATTTATCACAACGCTTTATGAACGGTGGAAGTTTATTGCACTGCACTTAAACCTCGTTTAACCTTTCCTTTGGAAACAGTGATGCTTTAATCTAGGGTGGCAAGAGTTTGTAGTATTCTGAATAATTGGGCCATCCGTTGACTTTAGTGGGGTAGGAGAGCTGAAAATAATGCCAATATCTTCTTCTCTGGCGATCACTCATAGCCGAGTAAGAGTGTCTTTCATGAACATGGTTTTAACAGTGATTCCGTAAGTTACTGTGGAGGCCAATTCTGGATCCACATGTCCTTCCACAGTGGGGACATAGGTTTCCGGATGGGAGTTGATCACAGTGAGGGTTTGCCAAATGTGTCTTCCTCTTAGCACGTTTCGTACTGAGTTTGAGCATCTTCAAAGCCCGTGACACCTTTGGTAAAGGCCGTTCTCCAACTGGAGCACTCACAGGCCAGTGTTTCCCAGTGGTCGGTGTTTATTCTACATTTTTAAAAGATTTGCATTGAGAGAGTCTTTAAACCTCTTTTGTTGACCACCAGCATTACTCTTTCCATTTTTAAGTTGGGAATAGAGTAGTTGCTTTGGATAGCTGGCTCTGGTGACTATCTGATGTTTCCTCTCTTTATGGTCTTGATTTATGGGCTACTACTAAAATGAGGCTGCATTTTAAGCCACGTTTTAAGCCGTATTTTAATTAACTGTTTTTTAAATTATGTTTTATTGTAATTTATATTTGGTATTAGCTGCCCTGAGCCCGGCCCAGCTAGGGAGGGCGGGGTATAAATAAAAACGTGTTGTTATTGTTGTTGTTGTTGTTATTTGGAAGACGATAATCAGGCATCTGCACAACATGACCAGTCCAATGAAGTTGACGTTGAAGTGTCATTGCTTCAACACTGGTGATCTTTGCTTCTTCCAGTACACTGATATTAGTTCGCCCGTCTTCCCAAGTGATGTGTAAAAAATTTCAGAGACCCCGTTGATGGAATCTTTCGAGGAGTTGGAGATGGCATTTATAAGTGGTCTGTGTTTCACAAGCATACAGTAAGGTTGGTAGCAGTAGGATGGCTTTGTAAACAAGCATTTTGGTTTCCCTGTAAATGTCCTTGTCCTCAAACACTCTACACTTCAGTCGGGAGAAAGCTGCACTTGCAGAGCTCAGGCGATGCTGGATTTCGGCATCAGTGTTAGCCCTTGTGGAAAGATAACTGCCCAGGTAGGAGGAGTGATCAACATTTTCCGACATTACACATTGAGTTGGATTTGTGGCACTGCAGAGGGGTTGTTTTGTGCTTGTTGGTGCAGCACTTTGGTTTTTTGGATGCTGAGCCAAGCGTCTACCACCTGAGACACAAACCTAAGGCAGGACAAGCAGAAAACCTCTTGGACCAGTGCTTTTTAGGCACGGGACAAACAAAAGCATGGGCGAACCCTAAGTCTCCAGTAAACCATTTTCTCTACACAGGGCTGTACAAAATGCAAGTATAACTGAATATTATTTTGACAGCCAGTGTTGTGAATTTCAAGGCTCATGGCAAGTTTCCTCTCTCTCTCTCTCTTAAGCTCCCACAAGTGTTTGCATGTTTCTGTGGGCCTTTGTAATGCTTTGACATTCTAACTATTCATGTTCCATACAGAAGAATATAAATATTAATTTAGGGAAGGGAGCATGGATTATTTCAAACAACCGACTCCTAAGGAACGGTAAATAAATAAATAAAAGAAACCTGTTGAAAACCGTGGCCTGCCAAAAGGGTCTTTCCCTAAATTCACAGTCCCGTTTCTCTTTGTTTTATTACAGGCGCATAAAAGAGAAACTCTGAAGGATCTTTCTCCTGACTTCTGTTCATTAATTCATAAAGTGCTTGAGGAAAAAGAGCATGTTTACCAAAACACATACGCAGAAATAAAAAAAGAGCTTTTCTATTCTGTATCTCTCTCCCCCCTTTTTTTTCTTTTCCTAAACACAAAACCAAAACCACAGTTTTAATTAAAGAAATATGCAGCAGAGCGGTTGGGGGTAGAGAAGAGATTTCTTCTGGCTAGTGTTTTGTGATGTGCCTTCTTGAGTACATGCAAGTTTTAGAAAAACAGAGAGTCAACTCCCACCTGCAAAGGCGCTGTGGGAGGTGGAGGTGTTACTCTGGGGATAAAATGGAGCCAATAACACAATTGATTGGTTTGGTCTTATTTCAAAGCTTTGACTGAGATCAAGCCCCAAAACAGATAGATAGATAGATAGATAGATAGATAGATAGATAGATAGATAGATGATAGACAGATAGACAGTTGGGCTGAATACGCCTCAGGTTGAACGCTTTCGGGTTGCGCTCTGCTGTGACACGGAAGTAACGGAACACATTAGTACTGGGTTTCGCTGCTCGCGCATGCACAGACAGTCAAATTGATGTCACACGCATGTGCGGAAGCAGCAAATCGCGACCCGCGTACGCGCAGACGAGCAGTCGCAGGTTGCGTTCACTTCAGGATGCGAACAAGGCTCCGAAACAGATCCCGTTCACATCCTGAGGTACCACTGTAATTGATAGATACATACTGCAATCATCATTTGCATACCCTCCAACATTTCTCCGGTGAAAATAGGGACGTCCCATTCCATAACGCTAATTTTACCATTTATACCCTACACATCTTACTGGGGGGGGGGGGTTTGCCCCAGCCACTCTGAGCAACTTCCAACATATATAAAAACATAATAAAACATTAAACTTTTTTTTAAAAAAAACCTTCTCTGTACAGGATTGCCTTCAGATGGCTCAGGGATTGGATAACTCTGTACCCTCCAACATTTCTCCAATGAAAATAGGGACATCACACCCAGCTTCAGTTAATCAATTTACACTGCTGGGAGGTGGGGCCAGTTGCATAAATGGGGGGCGGGGCAGCAGCAGCCAGGCAGTCGGCTCAGGAGCTTCACCCACCCAACCCTCCCTTTGTTTAATGTTTTCTTGTTTGCAGGTTAACCTTTTTTCTTCCTGTTTAGCGGGCGCTGCTAAAGTCTTTGGACTGCTGGCTGTTGAAGAAATTTTCCTGCACTGGTATAGCAATTCGTCACAACTTTGGCGGTTTAAGGCCTTGGGTGGAATCCTTTAGTCTTTTTTCCCTATATGGGGGGGGTGAACTGGTGACTCAACCCCCCCCCATGGGTGGCAATTCTAGGGTCCCCTCTTAAAGGGGTTGTAATTGTTGGGGTTTTGCCTACGTGCATTGATCCAGCTTTCTCACAGAAGCAATTAGTGAGTTGGCCGAAGGCCAGGAAATCTGAGCAGAGAAGTTTTCTGCCTGGTGATATGGGAACCTTGGATACAACTCTGCTATGGGTCGAGGTCACCCATGTAGGCAGTATGACCCATGACTTCTGTGTGGTTGGGTGGGTGGTTGGTTGGTTGGTTTTTGTTGTTGGAGTTAGCTGAAGTTGAGTTCAGTGTGAGAGAGTTAAGATCCGTGTCTGTATTTGTACAGTGGTACCTTGGGTTACAGACACTTCAGGTTACAGACTCCGCTAACCCAGAAACAGTACCTCGGGTTAAGAACTTTGCTTCAGGATGAGAACAGAAATTGTGCGGCAACAGGAGGCCCCATTAGCTTAAGTGGTACCTCAGGTTAAGAACGGACCTCCAGAACGAATTAAGTTCTTAACCTGAGATACCACTGTATACAGTAACTTGTGAGTCTGCTATAAATAATAAACATCTAAGTAACCAAGTTACTAGTGAGCAGCGTTTTGTTCCTGGTCATCCTGTCAGCTTGCAACCAGATACATCCAGAAATTATACGCATGCTCTGCAATATTCAACAGTAATAGTGGCCAGACACTGAAAGGTTGTCAGTGAACTACCCTGCATGCAAGGATATGGGGTGGACTGCCTGCATACACATGCGTCTTGCAGGGCACCCCCATATCCCATTTATCCTGAGGAGCCCCAGTCCCCCCCAGCTGGGGGCTGGGAGGGATACACACCCAATGCCTAAGCCAAGGTCTCCCTACATTTGAAAGTTTAATAAAGTTGTGGCCAAATTTTAATTCCATAACACGTTGCCATGAGTCATTATTCCTTTCTGGTGGTCCCTGGGAGCTGGGGCGGTCGCTGGCTGATCACGCAATGCACTGGAATGGCGTTCCAGTGTCTCTCAGGTGTGCCCTGGACGTGGTAAGGGGGGAGACCTGACCAGCCTCAGCAAAGCCCCACTGTGACTCCAGCTCACGAGGAGACCTTCCCCACGTTAGAATTCCTGCTCCATGATTGCAGTCATGGGATTTTTGTCTTCCACATGACGGTATACGTTTTGACTCCACAGAGTGGGAAGTGACAGAGACAGGATGTTTGTGTTACTGTGTTCCGTGAAGTGGTACTATTGTCCTTTTTCCTTTTCTCTTTGCTGTCTGATGCTAGAGAGAGAGGGAGCCACGTTGCAGTGCTCCGTGTGTGTTTATATGTAAATAAAGTAGATTAGCCAAAATGCTGAGTTGCTGTGGTCTGTCACGCAAGTTGCGAAGACTATGCAGATCCCTAAGTGTGCCGATGTCTGTTGGCATCAGTCGCTGTGATGTTGAAGAAAGCTTTTGAAGCTCCCAAACGATCGACCAGGAGGGAGAGAACATGCCAGTTGGGCATGTTTCTCTGCCAGGGTCCTGCTCGAGTGTAGGCTGAGCTCCTGACACCCCAGAGCCCTAAGGGGACATCCTCTTCAGGCCCCAGAGAGGGTCTCCTCATGAGCTGGAAGCACAATGGGGTTTTGTTGAGGCTAGCCATTCTCCCAGCTAACAGCTGATGAATTGGAAAGCCACGCCTCAGCTGAGGAAGCCGTCATGCCATTCTGGCTCATGAGAGAGAGAGAGAGAGAGAGAGAGAGAGAGAGAGAGAGAGAGAGGCACAGAGAGGGCTTGGTAAGATGTTCAGCTGAGGTGGAGAAAGCTCCTCACATCTCAGCTGAGCAGCTTCAACAAGTCCAAACCGATCCTTTTGGGGCTCGGGGAGTGTGTGGGACCTTCTGAGGAAAGTGTTCCACCACCTTTCTTCGGGGAGGGGGTGAGTCCCAGGTACAATCCCCAGCATCTCCCAGTAAAGCAGGTTGTGACTCATATCCAAAATGCAAACTATACGGAGCTATCCAGAGTATAGACAACATCAGGCATAGGCAAACTCGGCCCTCCAGATGTTTTTGGCCTACAACTCCCATGATCCCTAGCTAACAGGACCAGTGATAAGGGATGATGGGAATTGTAGCCTGAAGGGTCCTCACCTGTGCTGGATCCTCAGGTGCAGGCATCAGCTGAGTCTGCTCTGGCTCCTGAGGTGATGGAGGACCCATTGCCTGCAGGTGCTCCACTCTCAGCCCCACCAAAGGAAGCTGAGGTTGCCTCTGGGTCCGGTAACCCTCCAGCCTCTCCTGAGCTGCAGAGGCTCAGGGCAGAGGGGCGGAGGGAACTAAGTTCCCGTGGGAGGAGTGCTCGCCTCCAGGCCAGGAGAGGCGAGTCACAAGAGGATTGGGGCCGCCCCATGCCTTGGGGCAGATAAAAGCCAGCCAGCCCCAGTCCCAAGTTGCGGGAGCAGCATTGTTGGTTGCTAGTTCTTGCCCGAACCCTGTCCTGCTTTCCTCCCTGAGCTCCTGACTTGCCCTGGCTCCCTGCTGCAAGCCTGTTCCTGACTTCACCCAACTCCCTGCCCTGCACCCAGCTTCAGCTACTGTGGACTGCCTCCCCGTTGCACCTTTGACCCAGATCGGACTTGGACCTCGCCTCTCGGGTAACCCATGGGACCAGCACATGTAGTCTCAAAACATCTGGAGGGCCGAGTTTGCCTGTGCCTGGACAACATGGCGCTTGATGGACCAATGGCCCAAGGCTTCCAAACTTCATACGTTCTGGGACTGGTTTGCTTCGTGAAATCAAGAAGGTTTGTCAAGCAACGCAGCACAAGGCTGCAGGGCTGAATTTCACTTGCTGGACCACGTCTGCCATAAACACTTTTGCATCAGGAACAAAGACTCAGCCTTCCAGAAGTATTCCCCAGCTGATGAATTTCATCTGCTTTCTCTGCCATCTTCTGCAGCAGATCTAATTCCAAATATTGCCGATGTAACAATTCATTTATATCCCTGTCAGTGTTTGTACTGTAAAGGGAAAGGCGTGACCGGGAGTTAACTACACAACTGCTATCCAATGATCCTAATTTCCATGATTTTGATAATAATGAGTCCAACCAAACTGTTCAGCTGCACTTTCTACCTCAGCAAAACTGAGCTATAATTGTATAGAGAATCATTTTATGGGTGAATTGCGCCCTATAATGTAAAAAGATTAAAATAAAGTGCTCTAATATACAATGTCCTAACAGGTGCAGATACTTACCTGGGCAATTAAAATCTTTTTAATATACAAATCACAGGCAATGAGGCTGTTGGCATGATAAACAGGATCTTTCAGGACACAAAAGGGTTTGTTGAACAGGGATGGGGGGGGGGATATTTTTGGTTTGCTTGCAATATCCCACCCCGCTGTTGTTTAAGGAATGCAAACTAACTTAAAGCAGATTCCTCAAATGTATACATTCTCCATTTTTGTTTAAGTCATGAAAAATGGTCCCTGTTTTACCATTTGTACCACACTTGCATCACTGCTGTGCCACTGAACTGTACTTTGCTCAAAACATCTGATGGCTAATAGCCACTATGGCCAAAATCTACCCTGCAGTATGCCTTTGTGTAATATTTATTCCACATGCAAGGAAATCGCACATAGAATCAGGACCGGATTTAGGTTTGATGAGGCCCTAAGCTACTGAAGGTAATGGGGCCCTTTATATGTCCAGCTGTCCTTTGTCAACAACAAATTGTTGCTGTTTTTGTGTTGAATATATGATATATGGTAATTTATGGACCTAATAGGTATCTAAGGACGCGGGTGGCGCTATGGGTTAAACCACAGAGCCTAGGACTTGCCGATCAGAAGGTTGGCTGTTGGAATCCCCATGACGGGGTGAGCTCCCATTGCTCGGTCCCTGCTCCTGCCAACCTAGCAGTTCGAAAGCGCGTCAAAGTGCAAGTAGATAAATAGGTACCGCTCCAGCGGGAAGGTAAACGGTGTTTCCGTGTGCTGCTCTGGTTCGCCAGAAGCGGCTTAGTCATGCTGGCCACATGACCCGGAAGCTGTACGCCGGCTCCCTCGGTCAATAAAGCGAGATGAGCGCCGTAACCCCAGAGTCGGCCACGACTGGACCTAATGGTCAGGGGTCCCTTTACCTTTAATAGGTATCTAAAGCCATTTGCTCATGCAGAATGTAGGCACCCTATTTATAGAAATGAGCAAACCAGTGATATTTTGGGGAGCAAGCTAGCAGGCGGGACCCATTACTTACATCATAGGAGCCTACACAACACAAAACACTGTTGCTGTATGTCGGTTTTATTTTATTTGTTTTTTATGTTATATTTTTGAAATGTACATCCAGTTGGTTTTTTCCTTTAATTTTTTGGGGGGCACCCAAGAGAGTGGGGCCCTAAGCTATAGCTTGTTTAGCTTATACGTAAATCCGGCACTGTATAGAATCATAGAATGATTGGAAGTTATCACAAGGGTCATTTAGCCCAGCCCCTGAAATACAAGAATCTTTTCCCCCCAATGTGTGGTTCGAACCCACAACCATGAGATTAAGAGTCTCATGCTATCTTGCTGGGAACCACAACTGAGGAGAGTGTTCAAGCCTTGCTTTCAGGCATCCCAGAAACATCCAGTTGGCTACAGCAAGAACAGAACACTGAACTTGATAGGCCACTGGCCTGATGCAGCAGGGTCTTCTTACGTATGTTTTCATCTTAAGAAGCAAGCAGATCAATTAGGGCCAAGTGTTCCACTTCTCTTTATCAAACCCAAGCTGTGTCTTCTTAGCCCAAGGACCTGATACAGGTAATACAGCTGTGAAGGATAGATTCATATTTGGAAGATGAGACTTATTTGAATTTCTAAACCTCTTACATCGGCTGATCATAGCGGCATCGGGGCAACCACCATAGGACCCTAGAATTCTTGGGTTGGAAGGGAGCCAGAGAGTCATTTAGTCCAACCCCCTGCAATGCAGGAATCTCAACTAAAGCAGTCACGAAATTAAAATACGCCTGCTTCTTGGGAGAAAAGCAATGACAAACCTAGACAGCATCTTAAAAAGCAGAGACATCACCCTGCCAACAAAGGTCCGTATAGTTAAAGCTATGGTTTTCCCAGCAGTGATGTATGGAAGTGAGAGCTGGACCATCGCAGAAGAATTTATGCTTTTGAATTATGGTGCTGGAGGAGACTCTTGAGAGTCCCATGGAATGCAAGAAGGTCACACCTATCCATTCTTAAGAAAATCAGACCTGGGTGCTCACTGGAAGGACAGATAGTGAAGCTAAGGCTCCAAGACTTTGGCCACCTCATGAGAAGAGAAGACTCCCTGGAAAAGACCCTGATGCTGGGAAAGATGGAGGGCACAAGGAGAAGGGGATGACAGAGGACGAGATGGTTGGACAGTGTTCTCGAAGCTACCAGCATGAGTTTGACCAAACTGCGGGAGGCACTGGAAGACAGGAGGGCCTGGCGTGCTCTGGTCCATGGGGTCACGAAGAGTCGGACATGACTAAACGACTGAACAACAACAACAACTAAAGCATTCCTGACAGATGATCATCCAACCTCTGCTTAAAATCCTCCAAGAAAAGAGAGTCCACCACCTTTCCTGAGAGTCCATTCCACTACTGAACAGCTCTTACTGTCGGGTCTTCTTGATCTTCCGAATGTTTAGTCGCAATCTCCTTTCTTGTAACTTGAATCCATTGGTTCAGGTCCTACCTTGGCAGGAGAAAACAAGCTTGCTCCACCTTCCATCTTCTCTCCCCAGGGTTGAAATAGGTTTCAACTGTCTGTTCATTTAGGATCTGTGCACGCAATGGTCTTGTGCCTGCCCTGAAATCTCTCCACACTTTTTGGGTGGGTGTGATGTATTCACTTCACATCTCAATGACGGTCTTTGATCGCTCTTCTTGCAGCTTGGTGGTCTACTCTGCAGCCCTTTAATATGTGTTTATTAATCATTTATTAAAAACTCATTTTTCTTTCCTTTTTATTGAGTTGCTCCTCCAAATCCTTCCTGGCCTTTCTTTAGATGTTTGCACATTTAACTTTTTAAGCTCTTGTGGGCTGCCATCATCTGGATTTCATTTTCACTTTCGAAAAGATGCTGTTTTGCCATAATAGATTTCCAAATCGTGATATTTAACCAGGCAAATATTTCTGCAGAAAATCCCATGCCTCTAGCAAAGAAATTAGGACACACAGAGTTTCCTCTGATAATTTTAAGCAATTGTGTTCTCTGATCCTGACTTATTTTAGAAACGTTATCTGCCTTCATTACTGTGTTCTGGATTAATTGTGTTTGTGTAAAATCGCTCCCTTTGAAGTTAAAAGTTACATTTGTGTTTCTGCCTTGGATCTTTTGAACAGGAATTTGATTTCATTATGCTTTGTATTCTCTAGGTGCTCAGCAATATTACTTCTTGGACCAGTTCCTGCTCTCTATTTCAACCAAAATCCGTTAAATAGACCTCATGTGGACTCCAGAACTACCTGTTCCAGGAAATCCTCATTTACATGGTCACAGTTTATATGTGTGTGTTCCATCCCATGGACTGAAAAATATTAATTCTCATCTCTTGGCACTTGGGCTGTGATTTCATCTTGTCCCTGAAGCCTTTAGGAGCTCTCATCCAGAGATTTGGTGTACAATGAGATCAGGATGCTGATGACACACCACAATATATTTTCATTTCATCTAAACTGGGATACGCCAGGGTGTGGAGGCCAGAATAAACTGGAAGAGGCCAATAAATTGAAGCTGAATCCTGGCAACACAGAGGTGTTGTTGGTGAGCAGTTCCCAGGTCTTGGAGTTGGGTAGATGGTTTGTTGTGAAGGAGCAGGCTGCGCTTACCTTAAGATCTTCAGGAGGTGCCCTGATGTGCTATTCCCGTGGGTTACCCAAGAGGCGAGGTCCAAGTCCGGTCTGTGGTCAAAGGTGCAATGTGGAGGCAGTCCGTAGTAGCTGAAGTCAGGAACAGGCTTGCAAGCAGGGAGCCAGGGCAGGTCAGGAGCTCAGGCAGGAAAGCAGGACAGGGTTCAGACAGGAACTAGCAACCAACAATGTTGCTCCCACAACTTGGGACTGGGGCTGGCCGGCTTTTATCTGTCCTGAGGCATAGGGCGGCCCCAATCCTCTGGTGACTCACCTCTCCTGACCTGGAGGCGAGCACTCTTCCTGCGGGAACTTAGTTCCCTCCTTCTCTCTGCCCTGAGCCTCTGCAGCTCATGAGAGGCTTGAGGGTTAGCGGACCCAGAGGCAACCTCAGCTTCCTCTGACGGGACTGAGAGTGGAGCACCTGCAGGCAATGGGTCCTCCATCACTTCAGGAGCCAGAGCAGACTCAGCTGATGCCTGCACCTGAGGATCCAGCACAGGTAAGGATCCTTTGGGCTCATGCCCCAGCCCCAGCTCAGCTGATTCTGGAGGCGGGGAATCCTGTGCAGGCTGGGATCCCTCAGGTTCAGCATCCAAGTCCAAATCCCAGGCCATCAAACCTGATCAGAATTCCATTGATCACTATAAACTGTGGCACAGGGAACCAGGGCTAATTGCTTTTAGAAATGAGCTGAATATGTCACTGTTTTCTCAGATTTATGGTTTCGGGTGAGAGTTTTTGGACTGGCTCCTGAACTGTTTGCAATTTCAGCCCAGACACTGAGGTCCAGCTCCCAGGGCCTTCTGGAGGTTCCCTCACTGTGAGAAGTGAAGTTACAGGGAGCAAGGCAGAGGGCCTTCTTAGCATTGGCACCCTCCCAGGCACCTCTGGAGGGTGTTTGTAGAATTTGTACTGTTAAAACGGAAAGGGGTAAAAGCATTGCAAGTGGTGTTGAAATTTTGGGAGGTTGGATAGTTACAATGGAATGGTCTCGGTGGTGGGGTGCACAACTTTATTCTTTTTTATTTATGATTATTACTTTGTCAAAATAAAATTAAAAATAGGCAAAATAAAGAAATAATAAAAAAGCAGTTGCAATCAAGTCATGGAAGTTAAGGCAATCAGTGACTGCTAGCCATGAGGCTATTTAGAGGTGCTATACCTCTAAATACCAGTTGGGGATGCGGGTAGTGCTGTGGTCTAAAACCACTGAGCCTCTTGGGCTTGCCGATCAGAAGGTCAGGGTTTCGAATCCCTGCGATGAGGTGAGCTCCTGTTGCTCTGTCCCAGCTCCTGCCAACCTAGAAGTTTGAAAGCACACCAGTGCAAGTAGATAAATAGGTACCACTGCGGTGGGAAGGTAAACATCGTTTCCGTGTGCTCTGGCTTCTGTCACGGTGTTCTGTTGTGCCAGAAGCGGTTTAGCCATGGTGGCCACATGACCCGGAAAGCTGTCTGTGGACAAATGCCGGCTCCCTCGGTCTGAAAGCGAGATGAGCTCCACAACCCTATAGTCGCCTTTGGCTGGACTTAACCATCCAGGGGTCCTTTACCTACCTCTAAACACCAGTTGCTGAAAAGTCACAAGCAGAAAGATGGCTGCTGCACTCAGGTCCTGCTTGTGAATTTCACATAGGCATCTGGTTGGCTGCTTTGAGAACAAGATGCTGGAGGAGATGGGCCAGCAGAACTCCTCTTATGTTCTTCTACAAGAGAGGAATTTTGCTGTTGTTCTGCATGGTGCATGTCCACTATGGACATCCATCCATCATTAAGGCCATCACTATGTACCCAATCCGCCCGATTCTTCAAAATCATGAAAACAATGGCTGAGGGTACAACACTTTCCTCATAAAATATTTGCTTCAGATCAGGGCCTCCGGATTTAGGTTTGATGAGGCCCTAAGCCAGGCATAGGCAAACTCAGCCCTCCAGATGTTTTGGGACTACAATCCCCATCATTCCTGAACACTGGTCCTGTTAGCAAGCGGTCATGGGAGTTGTAGTCCCAAAACATCTGGAGGGCTGAGTTTGCCTATGCCTGCCCTAAGCTACTGAAGGTAATGGGGCCCTTTATATGTCCAGCTGTCCTTTGTCAACAACAAATTGTCGTCGTTTTTTGCGTTGAATATATGCTATATGGTAATTGATGGACCTAATAGGTATCTAAAGCCATTTGCACATAATAAAGAGGAACCTACGCCACACAAAACACTCTTGCTGTATGTACCGGTAGGTTTTATTTTATTTGTTTTTTATCTTATATTTTGGAAATGTACATCCAGGTTTTTTCCCCTTTTAATTTTTTGGGGGCCCCCAAGAGAGTGGGGCTCTAAGCTATAGCTTGTTTAGCTTATACGTAAATCCGGCACTGCTTCAGATCTTGGGCTGCCAAAGTGGTTGGTGTCACTCTGAACAAAGAGAGGCAAGGAGTTCTGGCAAGTGATGCTTTGTCTCTGATCACGTTTCAAGGCAGATGGACATATCTGGGCCATGCCTGCATACCCTGTTGCTCGCCGAAGTACAGATTGCCCTGCCAAGATAGCAGAGGAAGATGCAAGAGGGCAAGGATGAGGAGTCCAGCCAACGAGACCTTGCAGTGTGCACTGATCAAGAACTGCACACACAAAGATAATCTGGGCCCTGTGAGCAGTCAAAGGGGTGTTTCAGAAGGTGAGAAAATGCTGGTTTGTGCTTGGCAAAACTTTTATCAAATGGAGGGAGGGAAGAAAGGAGGTTCTCTACATTTATGTCATGGGTTCACATTATCACACCTCAGTAGAAGCGTGTCTGTTTTGCATGTAGAAAGTTTCAGGTTCTGTCCCCAGTAACTCAAGGTAGGGAATGTTAGGCTATAGTTCCGTTCCACCTTTAGAACAGGCATGTGGAGTTGTTGTATGTCACATGTCTGTTTACTTCCAGCACAGTCTGCTGGGAACTTCCGTTGTATATAGCTTTTGCTATTGCAGTTTGCTTGGACACGAAGGGAAGCAGAGATGTTTTTCCTTTGTCCTGATGCTGAATAAATGCTTGTAAATACGCTTATATATGCCTCTGTCCGCTACTTCTGTTGCAAAGAGTTCTTATCTCTGCTGGCTTGCGTGCTCAGTCTCTAAAGGTCTCTGAGGCTTGAGTCACAGTTTTGATGCTTTTCTGAGAACCGGAGTTCGCCCGGCTGCCGGCCAGTGGGCTGGAGCCAGCTGGGAGCCTGCTAATTGCCCCCGTCTCCCCGGATGCATCCCAACAGGGAACCCACTCTGGGGTGTGGCTGACAGTCAATACTGAGCTACATGGACCAATGGGCAGACTCAGTAAAAGGCAAGCTGCCAATGTTCCTGTGTTATCGGAGCATTTTTGGATGTCTCCAAGCTTAACTATAGCTGTAGACCAGTGTGTACTTGATTGATTTGGTCAACAAAAGAGGTTCAAAGACCCGCTCAAGGGAAATCTTAAAAAAATGTAGTATTAACACCAACAACTGGGAAACACTGGCCTGTGAGCACTCCAGTTGGAGAACAGCCTTTACCAAAGGCGTCATGGACTTTGAAGATGCTCAAAATCAGGACACAAGGGAGAAACATGCTATGAGGAAGGCACACTTGGCAAACCCTCACCATGATCAACTCCCATCCGGAAACCTATGTCCCAACTGTGGAAGGATGTGTGGATCCAGAATTGGCCTCCAAAGTCACTTATGGACCCACTGTTAAAACCATGTTTATGGAAGACAATCTTACTCGGCTATGAGTGATTGCCAAAGAAGAAGAACTTGATTGATTGATTGACTGATTGATTGATTATTTAATTTCTATACCACTTAACACAGGAGTCAACTCCTAGGGGCCTGGTCCCACAAGGAAGTTCAGGTGTGCATTGTTTGTAGTAGCTACTGAGAAAATTAGTGGGAAAGGAATATGCAGTCAATTGCCTTGGCTTTTTTTTATGGAGGTTATTTAACATAAATCAGCACATTTATCGCCCTTCATTATGTTCTTGGCCTTTCTGAATATATCTCCCTCATTTTTTTTTCTTACCAGTCGTATATTCCGGATCGACAAAATAAAAGTGCTTCTTGACACAGCCAATAATTAACGTATGGAATTCACGGCCACAAGGCACAGAGTTGGCCGCCAGCTTGGATGATGTCAAAATGGAATTAGGGGACAGGCCATAGCTCAGGGGTGGAGCAGTCACACAGCATGCAGGTTCAATGACTAACATCTGTATCAGGTGTGTTGTTTCTGAACTACAAATCCTATCAGCCCCAGCAAGCATGGCCAAAGGCCAGGGATTATGGGAGTTGTAGTTCAGCAACACCGGGAGGGTCAAAGGTTTCCCACACCTGATCTACAGGGTAGGGATAGTAATGCCCCATGCCTAAAACCCCAGAGAACCACAGCTAATCAGTGTGGTCCATGAGCTTGATGGACCAGTGGAGTTTTTTTCTGGATGCAAATAACATGGTAATGAGCACTAAATTTGTGTTACATTCAGCTATTTTTCAGGACGCGGCTTTTACATCATGCAGAAACTCAAATATAATGCAAAAATTAACCGTTCAGGAAACACCAGTGCCTTTCTCCCCATAGATGTCTTGGCAGATGGAGCTGGAGCGTGCCTGCACCATTTAGCAGCCTACTCTCTTTTTCGGCTTTTTTGGCAGCCATTTTGTGTTGTGCCGCACCTCTTGAAGAAGCCATTTTGTGACTGGCACCCACGACTCTTGAAATCCCAAAGGTGCCCCCTGGGCCCAGAGGGTTGGCAGCTGCTTGCCGTACCCTGAGATACATCACTGAATCTCCAGAACTTCCTGCTTCATTTTGATTTGCTTTGTTTGCAAGTAGTAGGAAGCCCCTCTACTCAGAATCCTGGAGAGCCACTGCCAGGAAGTTTAGGCAACAGGTCCAGCTCCAGGTGTGAGCAGAGGTGCCCTCTGGTGGGCTGGTTTTGACCAAGGGGCTCATTTCCTGTCAGCAGAAGTAGACCTGTGTGGGGACCAACTTCTGTGGTGCTCAAAAAAAGGCTCTATGGCTGGGCCTAGCCTCCATTTTAATTTCCCACAATTCCTGTTATGTAGTGGTGCTCCAGGCATTGTGGGACATATAAATCGGGTCCCTCCTTAAAGAGGGCATGTATTGCGGTGAGACTTGGATAACCAACACTCTGTGTTGTGGGTGGGTTCTATTGGTCAGCCACAACACCCGATTGATAGGTCCCTCAAAGCTGGGTGCAATCTGGCCAATGGGACGCAGTCCAAATGGTTCAAGGGACCTATTTATGCCCATGCACATGACCCAGAGCTCCCTCTTTCGACGCATGCATTCAGAACACCCGCCCACCTCTCCCTACTTTTAGGGCTTTGCGCTTGACCTTGCTATGCCATTGTGTGTCGTCTGTCATTGGGACAGGGGCACGGCAGGAATTTTCCCCACTTGACTGATTGGCTGCTGCCATTTGGGTTTCACCTGTTGCATAGCAAATCGTCACAACTTGTAAGGTTGCGGATAGCTGTGGTTCAGGTGATAGGAATGAGGGAACGGTCTCGCCATCCCTATGTGAAGGGTATTCCATTAGAGCAGCAGTTCTCAACCTGTGGGTCCCCAGATGTTGTTGAACTACAACTCCCATCATCCCTGAGCTGTGGCCTTGCTAGCTAGGGGTGATGGGAGTTGTAGTTCAACAACATCTGGTGACCCACAGGTTGAGAAAGGCTGTGTTAGAGGAATCCAGGGACTCAATGGTTTGGTCTACCCCTGAGAGAGAGGTGATAGGGATGGGAGAATGCTCTCACCATCCCTATGTGAAGGGTATTCCAGTAAAGGAATCCAGGGACTCGATGGTTTGGTCAACCCATGAGAGAGGGTTGTGCCCGTGCCTGAGTCCAGGCGAGCATCTGGGTGGCGGAGTTAGCCCATTCCCGGCTTTCTGCTTATCCAGGTGTTCACCCTTGGCCGACCTATGCTGGTGCCCTGGGTCAGCGCTACCCGCATGGCAGGGAGCTAGTCGAACCAGAGCCTATGCAACCAGTTGTGGCCTAAATTCTGCCCAAAACCAAAGCAAAATTTTAGTCATGTGTGAATTTATTTAGGGGGGAGATTTCTGGGTCTGAACACGCAAATGATGGCTGGACCCAGAAGCCTGGTGAGGTTCCTATTATATACATTTTTTTATTGGGGAGGGGAAAATATGGGTCCAGAGAAGGCATCAGTGATGGGCTGTGCTGGAGTACTGGGTCCCTGACATCTGCCTGATCATCCAAGGTTCAAATGCCAGCCTTTGCAAACAATACTGGGCTAAATGGACAAACAACCCTGATTTGTATCTTTGCTTAGATGCAAAACTCAGGTTATCAGGCCGTAAACAGTTCCCCGGCCCAGTTAACAGATACTGTTCCTTTTCGCACAGAGCGTGTGCAAGGCAGATCGTATCCAAATTAACAGCTCGGGTCTTTAGAAATTACTCCCTGGGTTTTATTAACCTTTGGGAGAAGTTATTTCTTAAAACCTCTGCCAACTCTCAATTCCGAGCAAATGATAATATACTAGTTTGGAGACTTGGGACTGCTTTGCAAGAAGAAGAGGAGGGGGAATTATGAGAGACACACACAAAAAAAAGGAAAGCCATTTCGATCAGAGATGGGAACTCAGACAAAGGGATGGCCCCGTGTCTTCTGAGGATAGACGAGCAACTGACGCAGCTCGCAAAATAGATAACGTCTACATTTGGGAGACGAAGGGATTCGCCCCGTCAAAGCAAGGTGCTTTATGTGCCAAATTAAGGCTTTTGGCTACTCCTTGCCACTTCGCCGAAATCCCACCCACAAACTTCCCGGGGAAAGAACATATGCGGTGCATATTTGGCGGCGTTATTAGGAATGCATAAAGTACAGTATTAGTCAATTTTATATGCTCGGTTGCATGAAATCTGTGTGTTTAAAAAATATAATAATTTGCATTTCATGGCTCTCCGATAACCTCAGGAGTGCACTTGAAATTCAGCACATGCCCACAGCACCTCCCAGCTCACCCCATTTTTAACTGAAGACCAATGGTTTCTATTAAGGGATCAGGCAGGGAGGCTGACAACCCAGTCAATAACTATGTGAGGTTACTTCATTAATGCTATAATGGCTGATAGAGTGAGAGGCAAAAAACAGGTTCCTGACAGCAGCAAATGAAAATGATAGAGATTCCCGAAGCTACGTGCCTTTCCTTTGTCATTGTCTTGTGCTTGGCTTATTCAAAATGTGGCATTTATGTATTCAGCCTTGATGAATGTTGCCGGCGTTAAGTACTTTTTCCATCTCTAATGCAGTGCCGATTACACATTGTTCTTTCCCCCTCTCCCTCTCTCTCTCTCTTTCTCGCTGCTATTCTGCTATAACCTCTGCTGTCAAGGATCTAGAGGCTGGAGGGGTTATAGGCAGCGGCTCAACAGTTCTCTCTGCCATTGCACACTGGGAGGAAAGGGGTTTGGTCTGCTTCGCCATGCAAGAGGTTCCAGGTTCAATCCCCGGCGTCTCCAGGTGAGGCTGGGATGCCTGCCCAAAACCCCAAAGAACAGCTGCCAGTCAGTGCAGACACTCCAAGTGTTCCTGTATTCCAGGGACAATCCCGAGTTTACAGAAGCCATCCTGGTTTCTGACTTGATCCTGGAATGTCCTGCTTTTCCTTAAAGGTAAAGGGACCCCTGAGCATTAGGTCCAGTCATGGCCGACTCTGGGGTTGCGGCACTCATTTCACTTTATTGGCCAAGGGAGCTGGCATACAGCTTCCGAGTCATGTGGCCAGCAGGACTAAGCCGCTTCTGGCGAACCAGAGCAGCGCACGGAATGCCGTTTACCTTCCCACCGGAGTGGTACCTATTTATCTACTTGTACTTTGACATGCTTTCGAACTGCTAGGTTGGCAGGAGCTGGGACCGAGCATCGGGAGCTCATCCTGTCGCAGGGATTCGAACCGCCGACCTTCTGATCGGCAAGTCCTAGGCTCTGTGGTTTAACCCACAGCGCCACCCGTGTCCCTTTTCCTTAGGACGTCCCTATTTTCATCAGAGAAATGCTGGAGGCATCAAAACCCCTGATAGCTAATAGCCATGATGGCCAAAATCTACCCAGCTGTATACCTTTGTGTAATATTTATTTCACACGCAAGGAAATCGCAGAATCAGGGCCGGATTTAGGTTTGATGAGACCCTAAGGTACTGAAGATAATGGGGCCCTTTATATGTCAAGCTGTTCTTTGTCCACAACAAATTGTCACTGTTTTTTGACAAATATGCTATTTGGTAATTTATGCACCTAATAGCTATATAAAGCCATTTGTGCATGCAGAATGTAGACACCCTATACCTCTGGTTGCGAATGGGATCTGTTCCAGAGGCCCGTTTGCAACATGAAAAGAGTGCAACCCGCAGTGGCGCGTCTGTGCACACGTGGGTTGCGATTCGCTGCTTCTGCACATGCGTGTGACGTAATTTTGCGAGTCTGCGCATGTGAGAACAGCAAAACCTGTAAGTAACCCTTTCCGGTATTTCTGGGTCGCCTCAGGACATAACCTGAAAGAACATAACATGAAGCGGCTGTAACATGAGGTATGACTGTATACAGAAATGAGCAAACCAGTGATATTTTAGGCTAGTACTTACATCATAGGAGCCTACACAACACAAAACACTGTTGCTGTATGTCAGTTTTATTTTATTTGTTTTTTATCTTACATTTTGGAAATGTACATCCAGGTTTTGTTTCTTTAAACTTTTTGGGGGGGCCCAAGAAAGTGGGGCCTTAAACTATAGCTTGTTTAGCTTATACGTAAATCCGGCACTGGCTAGAGGGTATGGTCAGCGTACACAATACTGTACGCAATACTAGATGGACCAACAGTCTGACTCAATATAAGGCAGTTTCCTGTGTTCCAAGAGCTGGAGAAGGATGATGGAGACAGAGTCTTTTGACTAAAGGCATTATTAGAATACACAGACACACAGCTGAGAGTGGGTGGAGTCAGAGTCAAAAGGGGGCAGAGTATTTGGCACTGTAGGAGTCTGTATGGAAACATTGCAGGAAAAATCTGATTCTAAACTTCCACATCCTTGTGGCTATATGCATTCATGAGAAAGGCTTCAGGAGTAAACCCTGAGGAACAATCAGTACCCGCTGCCTTGCGGGACATCTTTGGGAGAAGAAAAGGCTAAGGCGTAAACCCTACACAAATCTGGAGTGGATTCCCTAAGACGGTTGGATGGCACCTTGTACGCCTCCTTGCGGCAACTCCTGCACCCAAGCTGGTGCCAAATGTATTGCTCTGCTTTCCTTTGGACCACATCAGTAAGGCCAAGAGGGGAGTCTTGTCGTCTGGACAGCCCAGGACCTCCATAGACACTAACCCAGGCTTCTGCCCCAAGGAGCTCACTTTGGTGCTACAAATGCAGCAGGCATCTACAGCATGTTTTCTCTCTGCCACCTCTCTCTTTCTGTCACTGAATATTTGCAGGCTGCATGAAATTCAGGTTGCATGAAGTAGGTTCCCAACTGCGGGGCAGAGGTGAGATTTGAGCAAGAGACCTCCAAGATACCAG